GGGACTACAGGTGCCCAACACCACACCCAACTACTTTTTGTATTTTTAGTAGAGACAGGGTTTCCCCATGTTGGCCAGGCTGGTCTCAAACTCCTGACCTCAGGCAATCTGCCCGCCTTCACCTCCCAAAGTGCTGGGATTACACGGGTGGGCCACCGTGCCTGGCCCCGTTACTTATTTTTTAAATGGAGATATACATTTAATTTTAACCTGCTGATATTTCAAATTAAAGGGATGATGCTACACAATTCTTAGGCACTGGCCATGGGGCTACTCAGTGAGAAATATTAACTCTCAGAGGAAGTACTTAAGGGTCAATTAATCTTTTTGAATTCTGACATGAAAGCCTATTTAAAAGATTATGATTAACAATAACATTAACAATAACCATTCGTGAAGGAACTCATTTGGATCAAGAAGACAAAATCTTTTATGGCTACCATCAAGTAATAAATAAGACCTTTTGAATCCTAAATTATTAAATATTATTTAGAGAATAATGCAGTATCAGGCATTCAGGTAATACTCAGGAAGGAAATGCATAGTGATTAAAAGCATGGGTTCTGGCTTCCAAAATTGGCTCCATCTCTTACTAGTCATGTCTACTTGAGTAAGTTCATCTCTCTGTACCTCAGTTTCCATATATAGAGTAGAGATAATAGTAGTACAAACTTCATGTGAGGATTCAATGAGTTAATATATTTAAAGTACTTTCAGTACAGTGCCTAACATATAGTATCTGCTCTCTCTCTCTCTCTCTCTCTCCCCCCCTCCCCCATATATATATATAATTTTTTTTTTTTTTTTTAAAGATGGTGTCTTGCTCTGTTGCCCCGGCTGGAGTGCAGTGGCTCGATCTTGGTTTACTGCAACCCCCACCTCCCTGGTTCAAGCGATTCTCTAGTGTCAGCCTCCTGAGAAGCTGGGATTACAGGTATGTGCCACTATGCCTGGCTAATTTTTGTATTTTTTAGTAGAGATGCCATTTCACCATGTTGGCCAGGCTGGTCTTGAATCCCTGACCTCAAGTGATCTGCCCACTTCAGCCTCCTAAAGTGCTGGGATTACAGGCATGGGATTCGGGCAAGAATGTTCTTTAGTAAGAAGAAAATTGGATCGAAGGAAGAGCCAGGAGGAAAGAAACAAAGTAGAGGGGAAAAGGGGGGGAAATATGCAGGTAAATATAAATAAACATTAACTATTGAAAATAATGATTAATTTGGGAATTTTGAAAAGGTAAAACCAAAACACTGGACAATGATAGTGTATAAATTGGGAGGAAGGTGATTCGAGTTAAAACATTTTAAGATTCTTGTATTATTTGTGAGCCTCCGTGGCTACTAAAACACAGTACTCTTGTTTAATAACACTGGCACATGCCTATTAGAGAGTTGTAGCATCAGTTTATACTTATCAAGCTTAGTTTTGGTTCCCTTTTTGTGCTGACCCTTGGCAATTCCTCTTACTTTCTAAAGAAGTGAGATATTCATTTAAAAAGATGTTTGTTGCCTAGGCTGGAGTGCTGTGGTGTGATCTTAGCTCACTGCAACCTCTACCTCCCAGTTTCAAGCGATTTTCCTGCCTCAGCTTCCCGAGTAGCTGGGACTACAGGTGCCCACTACCATGTCCAGCTAATTTTTGTGTTTTTAGTAGAGACGGGGTTTCACCATGTTGGCCAGGCTGGTGTTAAACTCCTGACCTCAAATGATTCACCGACCTTGCCCTCCCAAAGTGCTGATATTACACGTGCGAGCCACTGCATTCGGCCTATTTCTTCTTTTGTTCAACAAATATCTTTTAAGAACAGGTAAAACTAATCTATAGTGACAGAAGGCATAAAAATGAATACTTTGCAGGGAATTGTGACAAGGAGGGAGCATGAGGCATAAGAAAGACTTCTGGGGGTGCTGGTAACGTGTTATTTCTTGATCATTACACTCAGTGGACATTTCATAGATAAATTCACTTTGCAATATTTTACTGTGCTGTTTATCATGTATACAATTTTCTGTACGTAATGAAGTACCTGTGTATAAGTGTATGTATGTGGTATCATAGAAAGATATTTGGTCTCTTTGTCCCCATTCTTGGCACAGAGCTCCTAAGTCCCTAGGAATTTTCTAAGTACTGAGAGTGATGGGAGTATCTTTTGTTTCAATGAGGTAACTCTTGGTGGGCCTCTAGGTAGCTTCAGGATGAGGGCTAGTGGCCTGAAAGACCAAGCCTTAATAAGAATCTTCGGCCGGGCACGGTGGCTCAAGCCTGTAATCCCAGCACTTTGGGAGGCCGAGGAGGGTGGATCATGAGGTCAAGAGATCGAGACCATCCTGGTCAACATGGTGAAACCCCGTCTCTACTAAAAATACAAAACATTAGCTGGGCATGGTGGTGCGTGCCTGTAATCCCAGCTACTCAGGAGGCTGAGGCAGGAGAATTGCCTGAACCCAGGAGGCGGAGGTTGCGGTGAGCCGAGATCGCGCCATTGCACTCCAGCCTGGGTAACAAGAGCGAAACTCCGTCTCAAAAAAAAAAAAAAAAAAAAAAGAAACTTCGAATTTTCAGCCCCATCTCTGAAGCTCCAGGGCAGGGGAAACAGCTGCAGCCTCAATCAATCACCAGGGGCTAATGATTTAATCAAGCATGCCCACATAATGAAACCTCCATAAAAACCCCTACTCAATAGGGTTCCAAGAGTTTCTGGGTTGGTGAACATAACAAAGTGCTGGGGTCGGGGTGGTGTTCCTGAAGTGGGCATGGAGACTCCACACCCCACCCCTATACCTTGCCCTATGTATCTCTTCCATTTGGCTGTTCCTCAGTTGTATCCTTTATAATAACCAGCAAATGTAGTGAAGTGTTTTCCTGAGTTGTGTGATCTGTTTTGGTAAATTATCAAACCTGAGGAAGGGGTCATGGGAACCCCTGATTTACAGCCAGTCACTCAGAAATATGGGTGGTCTGGGACTTGTGACTGGCATCTGAAGTGGGGGTGGTCTTGTGGGATGAAGCCCTTTTAACTTCGAGATGAGATGCTAACTCTAGGTAGACACTGTTAGAATTGAATTGAAGCGCTAGATATCCAGTTGGTGTCTGGAGAATTGTAGAAATGGTGTTGGGAAAGACATGATGTATTTGGTGTCAAGAAGAAATAAGACCCTCACTGTAATATTTCTGTAGAAGTTATAAAAGGAAACCCCACAAAACAGCTTACACCAATAAAATTCTGGTAGCTTGTAAAGATATGTTAAATATGTATCCTAAAAATAATTTTTAAAATGCATATTAGTATTTATATAATCTTGGGTAGGAAAGAATTTTCTAGGCGTGACACCAAAGGCAGAAATCACTGGTAGCTGTGACTATATAAAATTAAAATACTAACAACAACAAAACTTTTATACACAAAACATTGTGAATAGTATAAAACAAAAATATAATTATATTTTTCTATAAAGAAAAAGATTTGTAAAATATATAATAGACAAAAGGCCAATAACTTTATTTATATACATAAAAATTGTAAAAAATTATTAAGAAAAAAAAGGAATACCCCAATTGTGAAATGGGCAAAGAACATGAACTAGCAATTCACAAAAGAAATATATAAATGGCCAGTGAGTTCTGGACGCTAACAAAGAGGTTAGTAATTTGCCCAAGTTCACAAAAATAGTAAGAGGGAAATCAGGATTCAAACCCAAGGAATGTTACTCTCCAATAAATATTTGTTTAATGAATGATTATATATTTAACACTAGAAAATGTTTACATCAGGCTGCAAAATGTAAGTTAAAAGACAGGACATACAATGAGATCCCTCTCTGACCACACACTCACATAAACATCTAAACAGGCTTAGAAAAAAAAGCTTTCACTAAAATGTAACAGTGGTTAGATTGTGGAAGCCTTTTTTCTCTTTGTACTTTCTGAATTAAAAATTCAGAATATGCATATATGACTTCCGCAATAAAGGAGAAAAGTTATATTAAAAACCAAATGATAATACAAAATAAAAAAGTATACGAATACTTTTAATGACTCCCAATTATCCATGCATACATGGCTCAACATGGATCTCTCTGGGTCCCTAATCTTTAGATTCAACAATCATGTCATGGTTCTGTAGTTTCTTCCTCTCCTACCTACCGTTTAGCTGTGAAATGAATGTTCCTGAAACACTGTGACTTACTTGTAATCACTGCTTTCAATAATTCTCCATTTTCTATATAAAAAAGTAGAAATTCCTAAGTCTGGTGTTCAAGGCCTTCCACAATTATGGCATTCAGTCATCTTTTCACTTTATCACACACAATTTGCTGTTTGTGTATATATGTTGCCTACAGCTTTTATAACTTGTTCATGTGGTTAGCTCTACCTAGAATGTACTCTCACTCCATATGCCCATGTTCACCCAAGGCTCAGCTAATATACTATCTTCCATATGAAACATTTGCTAATTTCTCTTAGTCACTCTGAGAGCTCTTGGCTCTTTTATCTGCCTCTCTAGGCACTTATTTTCTTTTATTTTTAAGTGTTCTTTCCTAATAGACAACAGCTTGAGGTAAGATCTTTGGATTATTCATCTTTGTGCTCTTCTTACTGAATACTTACTGAGTGAATAAAGTTAATCAACAAAAGAGAAAAACTCACAAACTTCAATACCATTATGTTTAAGTATTTGAAAGTGTAAGCCTCTGGTTATTAAGTAGTTCCAAGGGTTTCACCTTTTTTGAACACAGGATATACAAATTGTTAACAGTGTAGGATGGTTCTTTCTTTCTAGGTCTCTGACCTAATAAAGAGATTTATGAATGTAACAAACATAAGTACTATAGATCCTTTTTCTCACAAACTCTTAAATTATTCTGGGTACTGCAAACACCAGAGCACTTCGGTCTACAGCAGTTTGGTTAGTACTGACCAAATTTTTCCAACATATAGCGAATGTAAGCTTTATCCTCTGGGAAAGAGGACACAGTTGTAGAATGAATATTCTCTTTTACCTTTTCGTGTTGTGCACTGTGGTGCCTCCCAGGACAATCCTCACTCCAGGAGTGGTGCGGTTCAGGTTATAAACTGTTAGAGCCTCTTCATAGGTGGCTCCTCCAATTACAAACACAATGATATCCTGAGGTCTGCAATAACGAAGAATGAGATATTATCACAGGATAAGAAAAAAAAAAAGGGCTGCGACTTATATACACAGAGTTTTACTTTCTAAACCTTCCTTTTTTTTGGTGGAGGAAGCAGAATTAAAGCAGAATAGAATAAAAGGTTTAAAAAAAGTTTTAATTATCTGAAATTGGCAGGAAACAGGGCAGGAAATGCTGAATAGTGATTTGCTTTCTGTTTATGAGCGGATGTCTTATAATTTCTGTGCTGTGGATTTCAGAATAGCACAATAGTGTTTGCTGGAACCAAATGTAGAAATATTATTTTATATTCAAGAGGGTACAGAGTGCCTCACTGTGACATGATATCAATACAGCAGTATTTTATGTTTATATTAATACTACACATCTGCTTTCATTTATAAGCCCTTTGTCAAATACTTAGTACAGTGCTATTACAATGGCCTCTGTCCAAGGACCTCAAAGCATTTTTGAAAGAACTGGCATATCTGGATATCCCCAAAACATGGGAACTAGAAACATTTAGTATTTTGAATGTAAAAAAAAGAATGGGACACACAAATTAATGGTGCTTCTAGGAACTCCATCTTTTCTTAAAATATTTTTTCTGAGTCTTTGGATAAACCAAGAAACAGAAACCATGGAAACAAACAAACAAACAAACAAACGTGAACATAGCAAATGCTGGACACGTTAACACATCAGCTCAGTCGCTACTTTCATTTGGGTAGCACTGTGTTGTTTTACTGTTTCCTGTTTCAATCCTTATCAAAATGGCTTCATAACAAAAGTGAATGCGCCTCCCATTAGCTCCTTCTGTAGATGTCACCAAGAAGGAGATCAAATTATTTTCAAAACTATTAATCTTTGTCCAGTTTTTCTTTTCTCATGCCATCAAAAGAAGATAAAATTAATTAATCCTACCAGGCAAGTAATTTTGTTAAATTGGACACTCATTGGACACTAAAACTATATCAAGCAGAAGCATTCATTTTGAATGTTATTGCACAAAACTAACCAGAAACATCTTTAATCAAGGAGTATACATGCTTCTGTATAAATCATGAAAAAAAAACCCAACACTACCCTTCCTTCCTGCTTGTCTGTCTCTCTCTTTCTAAAATACCTTGAAGGAATTAACGGAGAGAGTATTTGTTCTTGTGAAACTTCACTGAAACAGAATCAGCTACTTTTGGCTATTTTTAAATGTTCAGATAGTCTCTAAATTGCAGAGATTCCCCAGTAAAAGTTACACAAGGGAGGGTATGGTGGCTCATGCCTGTATGCACTTTGGGAGGCCGAGGTGGGTGGATCACTTGAGGTCAGGAGTTCGAGACCATGCTGGCCAACGTGGTGAAACTCTGTCTTTACTAAAAATACAAAAATTATGTAGGTGTAGTGGCAGGTGCCTGTAATCCCAGCTACTTGGGAGGCTGAGGTAGGAGAATCACTTGAACACAGGAGGTGAAGGTTGCAGTGAGCCAAGATCGTGCCACTGCACTCCAGCCTGGGTGACAGAATGAGACTCCATCTACCAAAAAAACAAAAAAAAAATCAAACAGTTATACAACCTACCAATGATGAAGAGGTTGTTATGGTAGAGTGTCAATTATGATAAGGGTCCCCAGTTCCAGGCTGAGGACCAATACCAGTCTGTGGTCTGTTAGGAACTGGAGGGGGGCACAACAGGAGGTGAGCAGTGGGTATTAGGGCCTGAGCTCCACCTCCTCTCAGATCAGTGGAGGCATTAGATTCTTGTAGGAGTGCAAATCCCACTGTGAACTGTGCATGGTAGGGATCTAGGTTACTTGCTCCTTATGAAACTAACACCTGGTGATCTGAGGCAGAAGTTTCATCCTACTTGACTTGTCAGCAACATCTAAGTTGATCACTTGCTCCTTCTGGATATACCTTCTTCACTTGGTCTCCAGAGAATTACATACTTGGTTTTTTTTCCCTTGCTACTTTTCAGTATCCTTTGATGGTCCCACTTCATCTCCATGACCTCTTAATGGTGGAATGCCCAGAGCCCAGCCATTGGCCCTCCTTTCTTCTCCATCTAAACTCCTTCCCTCCATCTGCTCCATTCAATATAGTGACCACTTGCCACTAATGGCTGTTTAAATTTAATCAAAATAAAATTAAATGTTTAATTCCTCTGTAGCACTAGCCACATTTCAAGTGAACAGCCATACTGGCAAGTGGTTACCTTACTAGTTAGCGCAGAAACAGTACATTTCCTTCCCTAGATAATCTCATCCAGTTTTTTGGTTGTAAATAAATCTATCTGCTGATGGCTCCCAAATCTCCATCTCTAGCCCAGACCTTTCTTCTAAACTCCACACTTAAATATCTGTCTACTTGACATTTCCATTTGGATGTTTAATCGATTTCTCAATTCAGCATGTTCAAATCCCCAATCTTCCCTAAGCCTGTTCTACCTACAGCTTTCCCTATCTTACTTGATAGTCACTTTAGCTTTCTAGCTGCTTGATCCAAAAGCTTTGGACGCATTCTAACTCTTCCTTTGGGACAGAAGTGAAGTTGAGGACATAGTGAGAGAAAGAGGAAGAAGTAAGCATAAGCCAGCTCATAGAAAACCTCAAATCTCACAGGCCATGGGGGAATCACTGAAAGGTTTTCACAGGTTACCATGATCAAATCTGCATTTTTTTTTTTTTTCTGAGACAGAGTCTCGCTCTGTCACCCAGGCTGGAGTGCAATGGCAATCTTGGCTCACTGCAACCTCCACTTCCTGGGTTAAGCTATTCTCCTGCCTCAGCCTCCCAAATAGCTGGAATTACAGACGCAAGTCACCATACCTGGCTAATTTTTATATTTTTAGTAAAGATGGGATTTTGCCATACTGGCCAGGCTAGGGGTATCAAACTTCTGACCTCAGGTGATCTGCCCACCTTGGCCTCCCAAAGTGCTGAGATTACAGGTGTGAAGCACCACGCCCAGGCAAATTTCCTTCTTTTTTGAAGGATAGTTTTGGCAGCTGTGCAAGAATGAATTGGGTGTCATTGCTGGGAAAAGCTGGAGAATAAAAGGCTAGTGTAAGACTTCTGGGAAGATATGATGAAAGCTAGAAGTAAAGACATCCCAGAAAGGGTGGAGAGGAGGTACTAGATATCCAGGCACAAAAAAAATACATATTCTTCAGTATTTGGTCAATGACTGAATGTGGAGGATAGATAGGGGTAAAGGAGTCCATAACTTTGTTTTCTGGTTTTAGTAACTAGGTGTAGTAGTTTCGGTTTGAGAAAAAGGACATTTAATGAGAATAAGACAAAAACATGTTATGTTTTAGATACTGTGGAATATTCTAATGGAGATGCCCACTAGACATCTGTGTATTCAGGTCTAGGGCTTTCCACAAGTATGTGATAGCTGAAGCCATGGGAATAGATGAGTTTTGTCTAGGGAGAACATCTAGAATGGGAAGAGAACCAAAATAGATTTTTTTGTCAAGTCCCTAACAACTACAAAACAAGTAAAAAGAGTAGCTAGCACTAGCAACTGAGAAGAACAGTTTCAGAAAGGTAGGAGGAGAATCAGGAGAGAGAGGTTGAGGGCCAGCTGAGTCTCAAGAAGAAAAGAATGGTTAATAGTGTGAAATGGAGCAGTGGGGAAAATAAGGTGGGAATTGAGAGTCCCCTGGATTTACCACTGTGATTTTGCAAGAAATGTTTTAGTGTGTTGTAGTGGTGTAAGGAGCCAGGCTACATGGATTGAAGAGTTGAGAAACGGGACAGTGACTGTGGGCTTCTTTATCTAAGACGCCTGGCTATGAAGGGAAGGACATAACTTAGAGGAAAATCTAGGACCAAAGGCTTTACATTTATTATTTGTTTAACAAAATAAAATGGAGTATGATTATAGGCTGTGGAAAGTCGGTAGAGAAGCAAAAAAGAATGGGGGAATGGGGAGAAGAGAATGAGACAGCTAGCGAGTCAGAGAGAGAGCGCGTAAATAACAAAGGCTTCAGGAGAGCAGGTAGGAAGGTAAACCAGAGTAGTGGCATTCTGACTTTCTGACTGGTGTAAGATGATATCTCAGTGTGGTTTTAATTTGTATTTCTCTGATGATCAGTAAAGTTGAGTATTTTCTTAAGTGTTTATTGGCCACTTAGAATTCTTTTGAGAAATGTCTGTTTGTGTCCTTTGACCAGTTTTTAATGAGGTTTTTTCTTATTGCGTTCCTTGTAGGATGTGGTTTAGTTCTTTGTTAGAGGCATTACTTGTAGGTTGTCTGTTGATTCTGTTGATCATTTCTTTTGCTGTGCAGAAGCTTTCTAGTTTAATTAAGTCCTATTTGTCTATTTTTGTTTTTGTTGCATTTCCTTCCGGGATCTTTGTCATAAATTCTTTGCCTAGACCAATATCCAGAAGAGTTTTTCCTAGGTTTTCATCTAGGATTTTTATAGTTTTAGGTCTTACATTTAGGTCTTTAATCCATCCTGGGTTAATTTTTGTATATGGTAAGAGATAGGAGTCCAATTTCATTTTTCTGCGTATGGCTGGCCAGTTTTCCCAGCATCATTTATCCAGTGGGGTGTCCTTTCCCCATTGTTATTTTTGTCGACTTTATTGAAGATCAGTTGGTTGCAGGTATGTGGTTTTTTCCCTGGGTGCTTTATTCTGTTCCATTGATCTGTGTCTGTTTTTGTACCAGTACCATGCTATTTTAGTTACTATAGCCTAATAGTATAATTTGAAGTCAGGCAATGTGACTCTGGGTTTGTTTTTTTGCTTAGGAGCACCTTGGCCATTTAGGCTTTCTTTGGTTCCATATCAGCTTTAGGATTCTTTTTTTCTAATGTGAAGAATGATGTTGGTAACCTGATAGGAATTGTGTTGAATCTGTAGACTGTGTTGGATAATATAATCATTTTTAACAATATTGATTCTTCCAATCAATGAGCATGGGATGTTTTTCCATTTGTTTGTGTCAACTATGATTTCTTCCATCAGTGTTTTGTAGTTCTCCATGTAGAGATC